AGAAAAGTACACGGTGTGAGGCAGCTTCCCCGCAGGGAGGATTACCTGCAGAAACTGCTGCGGCGGCTGGGTCAGCTGAGCCTGAGATGGTTGCTGCGCGGAAGCGAGCTGCGGTTCCTGGGAATTCTGCTGCTGCGTGACCGCCAGCGCCTGCGCCTGCTGCTGCTGCGCAGCGAAGGTGGGGTAGGCGGTCACCACCTGGCCCATGAGCATAGTGCTGGGCACCATGACCGCCCCACAAGCTACAGGAGCAGTCACTAATTTGGTCACGAGTTGCTGACCTTGAGAAAATCTGTTAGAAGAAAGAAAAGAAGTTGGAGTCAAAAATACAAGGTATACATCCTAAAAGGCAGTGGGCTGAATACTTAATCTAAGATATAATAATACCCGATGATACTGCCAACCCAGCTTTTTAAAAGCTTTATATTCCTATCTGATTTCATGTTTTTAAAAATTCCCTTTGGGATATCAAACAAAAAATATATATAGCAAACTCAACATGACAAAAATCCAAAATTTTTTTGGATTTCCATATTCAAAAGAATGAAGTTGGACTCTTACCTCACATCATATACAAAAATTAACTCAAAAATGGATCAAAGACCTAAACATAAGAGCTAAAACATAAAACTCTTAAGAAAACACAGGAGAAATGCTTCATGACATTGGATTTGACAATGATTTCTTGGACATGACACCAAAAGCACAAGCAACGAAAGAAAGAGAGAGATATACTGGACTACATCAAATTAAAAACTCTGTCTATTACATTTCTGTGCACTATCAACAGAGAGAAAGGTAACCCGCGAATGGGAGAAAATGTTTGCAAATCATATATCTGATGATGTAACCAGCTCTATGAACAAATTTCAATGACCCCTATGTGTTTTTTTATAGTCTCCTCCCTCAGCTAAACTCCTTGAACTTTTTGAGTTGTTTCCCAGAATTAGCTGAATTTTTACAAGACAAAAGAGTTAGATTCCCAAGGCCCCAAGGTAAAATTCCTGAAGCCAAGAATCACCATCCCCACGGCCCCTCCTTAGAAAGCCCAGATCTCTGTTGGTCTGGAAGACGGATTTGAGACTATTTCTCCCATTCTCTCAACAGACGTCTTTCACATTAAAATTCCTTTCTTCCTTGGCAATCCTCTTGTCTCAATAGTTGGATCTTTGTGCAGTGAGCAACTGGATAAGGGGTTAATAACCAAAATATATAAGAATTCCCACAATTCACCAACAATCAACCCAATTAAAAAATGGGCAAAGGTCAAACATGAATAAACGTTTCTCCAAAGAAGATATACAAATGGCTAATAGGCACATGAAAATGTGCTCAACATCACTAATCATCAGAGAAATGCAAAGCTAAGTCGCAATGAAAGACCACTTTACACCCATCAGGATGGCTATTATAAAAAAACCCAAAAAACAACAACAGAAAAAACCAGTTGGCAAGGATGTGGAGAAACCCTTGTACACTGCTGATGGGAATATAAAATGCTATAGCCACCATGGAAAACATTATGCAGTGCCTCAAAAAAAAATCAAATATAGAATTATCACATAAAGCAATTCCACTCCCAGGTATATATCCAAAAGAAGTGAAAGCAGGGACGCAGATATTTGTACACTCATATTCATAAGTAGTGGCATTATTCACAATAGCCAAAAGGTGAAGCAACCCAAGAATCCACTGACAGATGGAATGAATAAGCAAACGTGGTATATACATACAGTGGAATATTATTTAGCCTTAAAAAGGAAGGAGATCCTGACACACATTACAACGCGAGCATCCTGCTAAGTGAAATACACCAGTCACGAATGAACAAATACTACAGCATGATTCCACTTACAGGAGGTACTTAGAGTAGTCGAATTCACAGACAGAAAGCAAAACAGAGGTTACCAGGGGCTGGGGGAAGGGAGAACGGGGAGTCACTGCTTACAGTGGTGGTTGCTAAGGGCTGGGGGATGGGGGCTGTTTAACGGGGATGGAGTTTCAGTTTGGGAAAGACAAAGTTCTGGAGATGGTGGAGGGTGATGGCAACAACCA